ACACAAACAAGTCAGGGCCACAGTGACAGAACCTGGGCTGCTCCTGCCCCGGGAGCCAATGAGGGGAGAGAGAGCAGTCAGTGATTCTGATGGGCTGCTGATGGATTATCAAGTGGAAAAGTAGAGTCCCCAGCATCAGCCCGATGTTCCTAGTAACCTTCAACAAACAAAGGCAGGTCCAGGTGCGTGAAAGCAGGTCATTGGAGGGCGTGGGAGTGCTGTCAGGGACAGCGTGGAGAAAGGAAGTGACTCCTGGCACGAGGAGGTGGAATTCTGCTGTACCTGAGGCTATGCTCGGTGTGTGCTTTCTCAGCCAAGCTAGCTGGGGACCTGGGAGGTACTCAAGGGAGGCTGAAGGGCTGAGGCCAGGTAGTGAGGGCTCCCATAAACCAGCTGGAAGTGCCAAGCTAGATGTGAGAGGATGCAGTGCTGCGGTAGCGGGGGTGGAAGGAGCTGAGGGATCGAGATCTCGTCAGCTGGTTAGATGGCAGCAGAGTAGATGCGTGAGCCTTCTAGGAGCCCCCTGCTACAGACACTGTACTCACCTGCCTTGGCCCATTTCCCAGGTCCTGCGAGGGCGAGACCTTTGAGAAATGTGTGTGAAAGAAAGAGAGGCGCTTTCATTTTCCAGCTACCTTAAAGCATATTGTCACTCTTTTGTATCTCTGTTGATCAACTTTCAAAGTTATTCCTGTAGCACATAAGCAAACTTAAACAGACTGTGGTAAATTATTTAAGAACGAGGGCTAGTGAGATAGCTCAGTGGACTAAGCGCCTACTTAGGGAAGGGCAGGGACCAGGGTTCAATCTCTGGTGCCACGTGCTGCACTGGCCCTGCCCCCAAGTGTGCTGAGCTCTCCACCCAGTCTGGGCATGGTGGTGCCCACCTGTAATCTCAGCCCTCAGGAGGCTTGAAAACAGGAGGATCATTATGAGTCCAAGCTGCATAGTGAGACTGCACAAAATACATTTTTAAAAAACCTGAATTATTCAAGAACTGAAGATGGCACGTTGGTGAAGTACAGACTCATTTTTTTTCTAGACTGCAGCTAATCTCCTATCCTACGGGTTTATTTCACTGTATCTTGTCTCTGTACCAGGATTGTTTGAGACGAGCCTGAAACCAACTTTGAACTCAGCCATTTGGTTATCATGTGGGAGACGGCTCCCTGCTTCCAGTAGACCATTGTAGTAGTTCTGTAAAGTTACTTGATGTATGTTTGTCTCCCTGGACTCACCTCCTCCAAAGCCTTGGCTGTACCTTACTCACTGTGTGTTCTCAACCCCTAGCTTGTTGCTTTAAAAAAATTTGTTGGATGGCAAGTGATTCATATTTAGGCACTTTTTCTCTGGTTCTTGTTACTATGATGCATGTCTTAAGTCAAATTTAGAAATGCTTGATAGTATGATGGATATTATGGAGTTTGCCTGGGCCCTTTGGGAGGGAAAGTACAGTAACAGCTGCTCTTGGGTCTCAATTCCAGTGCTGAATGCTTAGAGGTGTGTTGTCATGTGTGAGTGCTGCTCTTGGCAGCCCTGTGATATCCACAGGAGCAGCTGAATGGAGGCAGTAGGAGGACACTGGTGCAGACAGCGAATAGCCTACGTCCCGGGGCTGGTGCACACAGGGGTCCCTGAGCATGGAGTGTCCCGGCCTGGCCTTCTGCCAGGATAATGCCCCTTGGTCCTCAGTCACCACATAACCCATCATATCCTCAGCGTCACCTGTCTTAGGTACATCTTGTGCTAGCTTGAGTTCCCTAATCTATGTCTGTGTGAGACCTGTGAAATTTGTTTTCATAGCAGATAACTGGTGGAGTAGTTATTTTGCCATCATACCTTTCACCAGGGGCAGGGACCTGATCACTCCCTTTGCCCAACATTGAACACAGAAACTGGCACAGTCTGTGCTCTGGATAAACGCAGGGGAAGCCAGTGAATTGTGGAGAACCTTGAACGTGGGTCCCTTCCTCATCTGTTTAAAACTTGTATACTAAGGGCTATTGTGAAGATTATTTCTCTCCAAAACTCAGTGGATGAACTTTCTATAATTTTTTACTTTATTATAATAGTTATTGGGCTGGCCAGATAGCTCAGAGGGCTAAAGTGCCTGCTTAGGCAGAGCGCAGTGGCGGGGTTCGATTCTCGGCATGCCGTGCCAGCCCTGCCTCCGGGGTGCACTGAGATGGCATTTGAGACTGAGTGTGGTAGCACACGCCTGTAATACGAGCGCTTGGGAGGCTGAAAACAGGGTCACTACGAGTCCAATGTACATAATGAGACCCTGTAGACCCTGTAGAACCTGTACTAAATACAAGAAAGAAAGAAAGAAAGAAAGAAAGAAAGAAAGAAAGAAAGAAAGAGAGAAAGAAAGAAGAAAGAAAGAAAATATAAGAAAAAATAAGGCTAAAGTTTAAAAAATTATAATAGTTATTCATACCTATTGTTTGCAGTTCAAACCATATAAAAGAATGTAAAATAGGTGTGTATTCATTCAGTCAAAGATAACAGGTTAAAAAAAGGTCTTCACCATCAGAATAAAAATTGAATAAGCTACAAGATGCTAGAGCTGAATGGGTAACGGTGGAGTAGGATCATTACTCTTGTTTCCAGTGCCCCCAAAATAATTTTTATATTCCAATTTCAAAATGCTCCACACTTTGTGTGTGACAAGCTTTTATGGAGGACTCCATATCCTGAGAACAGCCTCAGCTGGATTCCCATTGCAACTTGTTCTGTACTTCTACATGGATATGTTGTACAGATTTTACTGTCCATGGTATTCTTCAATAAAATACTAAGGCAGGATGGGCAGTGGAAGCCTATATGATTTAATGCATGTCTTAATAAGTTTGGTTGCTTAAAATAAAATAATGTTGAAATAAAGCTTTTCAATTTAAGAAGCACCATCATGTGGAATGTTTGGCCTCTGTGATGGCTTTATGTGATTATGGTGAATCATTGGACTGATGGGATTAACACAGAGAAGCATGTATCTTTAATGCCACACAGTTGTTAAAGATTTAATTAATTGATTAATTTGATACAGGATGTTACTACGCAGCTTGGATTCGTGGTGATCCTCCTGTCTCAGCCTCCCCAGCACTGGGATTGTTACACACTTTATTTATTGGCAGAACCGGGAATTGAACTCAGGCCCTTGCGCTTGCCAGGCAAGTGCTTATTCTACTGAGTCATCTCCCCAGCTCCCTTAGTGCTGGGATTACAAGAGTGCACCACCACACCTGATTTCAGGGCCTGCATGGCGCACCCAGGGCCCGCACGGCTATAGTACCAGGGATTGACCCGGGTGCTTGCACTTGCCAGGCAGGTAGTTAGACTACCGAGCTATCCCTCCAGTCCAATTGCTACACATTGTAATGTCAAAGAAAAAATGAAGATTCCTGATTGTGCCTATTAATTAATGGCATCAATTACCATGATGCATCTTCCATTTCTTTATTGCAAAGAGAATATGAGAGCGGCTACCACAGTGACCAGAGTTTGGAGTGAGGTGTGTGTGCACATATGGGGTGTTCATGGGGCTTGTGTGTGCATGTGTGTGTGTGTGCAAGAGCACATGTGTTTGGTGAGGGTGTGCCTGCTTGATGCCCAAAGGTGCTCAGGAATAGATAAGTTCATCTAGCTGTTGGAAAACCAGTGTAATAAAACTTTATCTGGAAATCATGGTAATTGAACTATAACCACCACTATATTCCACTCTCAGGTCTATAGCGAAGGTGACTGTAGTCATAGGCCATAGATTGCACTGAGCTTATAAGTCACCCTGAGTACTAGTGTGTGGTGGGTGGTGGAAGGGAAGGGAGGAGCAGGGATGGGCTGTACCGCTTTCTGACTCAGCTCCAGAGTGGCTCGGGGCCAGGAATTAGAGACAGAGTGAAGTCCGCATTATAGGCTTTCCGGGTATTGTTGGCAGGGTGGCAGCTGTTTACTGACAGCCAGTTGCTTTAGAAGGTACCTCCAGCCAGATGGAAGCCTGGGCTGAGGCCTAAGGGGCTGAAATGATAAAGAGACATCGGTGAGCCTGGATAGGCGTTTGCAATGGTGATGCTGCTTATGTGCCATCAACCAGAGAGGTTACTATCAATCAAGACAAGTTAGGTGCTAGAATAGCACTGTGCATGGTGCCATGCCAACGCCCCTGTGCACAGGTGTTGCTGTGACTTGCATGATTGGGCCGCAGGGCTCTACCACCCCACACATCCCTAAGAGGGGTGTTCCCTGCGTGAGTTCTTCTATTACCATGCATTCCTTCTCACTCTCCAAGGAGGAGCCTATATAAAATGCAGTACAGCGCAATTTCCTCTGCACCCTGACACTCACCTTTTCCTTACATAACCCTGAAAAGACAGTTCCTGGCCCTGAGCTCTATTTCCTGAAGTTTGTCCTTGTCACTTATGTGTTGTATAATATATTACAAGAGTGTGCTAGCAATTTAATAAACATAGTATGACAAATGTTTTGCATATATTATTATAAATACTTAAAGACCTGGAAAATGGATATCATTGGCTCATTTTATTAATCAGGAGAATAGCTGACATTCACAGAGCTGTTAATGGGCAAGGCTGAGATTTAAACAGAATTCTGTGATTTCAAAGTCCATTTTTCTTTAAAAAGTAACATTAACAGTTATAATAACATTTAGTAAGCCATTATATGCTATACAGTGTCTCACAATAAACTTGAAAGTTAGATATCTACTGAAGCACAATTGAGAATGGCAAGCTAAAGATCAGAAACGTTAAGTAACTTGCCAGAATTACTTAGTGGAAGTAGAATCCATATGTGAACCCATTTGACTTGGTTACAAAGATTTTTGCTTCCTGGACAGTACCGTGTACTGGATCTGTGTGGGTGTGGTGCTATCAGCTGGGTAAAGCCAAGGTGAAGAGTTAACGATGGGGCGGCAGAGAAGAGCTTCCGACAGTGTAAACCGTAGGTTAAATAGACTCAGACTCTATTTCTTTTCTTTTTAGATGTCAGCCTCTGGGGCAAGCAGCAAGCCTTCCAGTATGAATCCCACAGAAACTAAGGTATGAAGAACCGTCAGTAGTTATCCTGGGTGAATGCTGCTTTAAGTTGATTATATTGTAGTTTGATTTGGAAGCAAATCAAATATGTACACTAATTGTCCACAGATGAATTGTCTGTCCCAGGAAGTTTATACCATGGAAGTGGACATTTTCTTCCCAGTTTGGGTATTTCTATAAAAACTCAGCCTTCCTTCTGTTTGCCTTGGACATCACCAGTGGACAGGCATCTGTATTGTTTTAGAATCTCTAGAAAGGGGTAGTCCCTTGGAGTTGTTGGAGTTTTTTGTTTGTTGTCCTTGACTTGATTAAGTTACTGAACTGAAAATAATCTATCCAAGTACATTTCCCTGAATCTAAATTCTTAATTTTTTGGTAGAGTTGTATTTGTATTATTTTTCTGGACTCTTAAAAACAAATAGAGAAACAAGAAAAGTCACATGAAGTGGCTATAGAAACAAGTGAAACACACAGGTTATTTTAGCTGCCTTTTGAAATTTCCAGATTTGAGTCATAAGGGGTAACATTTGATTAGTAAACATTTGTCAAGTTCTATCTGGACTTTATTCATATAATTATTTCTTAGAATTTCAGAAGAAAAATGATAGTATCCTCTATGGAATTGTCATATGGGGTAAGTCTAGTTAGGAGTGTTGGCTAAAGTTACCTTATACCCGCCTTCATTTTGTCTCAAACTCTTATTTCTTGTGAAGATTTCCGGGTATAAATTAAAGTGGAAATAGTTACAAAATGCTTTCAACTCATGAATCATTCTGTAGTGTCTTTACGAAGCATTCAGCGTCATTATTACTTGATTGCCTGTTTAAGGTCCCTGGAGCTTCTGTGCTTTCTGCCTTCCGTCTCAGGGGATGAGGCGCTGCAGTTCAGCACTACCAGGAATCCTGTGAGCTCCTCTTAAACTACAGTATAGCCATATCTGAGAAGCCATTTGTCTAAGCTCTTATCAATATCATTAATATTTATTTGAATTTCTAAACTTCTTTAAATCTAGAATTGGAGCCAGGGATGTAGCGCAGTGGTATAAACACCTGCCTGTCAAGCACAAGGTCTTAAGTTCGATCTTTGGTACAGAAAAAAATATATATATAGAATTGTATTTTAATATTTTATATCTATATCAATTTCTTAATGTTTTCAAAATATACATTAGATGACCTATGATTATTTCACTGACTGTCATGATTTATTTATGTCAAGCTCTATTTTTAAAAAGTCCCATCTGTTTTGCACTGCTGGCGCTCAAACCCAAGGCCTTGCACATGTCAGGTGAATACCGTACCCCTAAGCTGTGTAGCCCCCACCCCCCAGTACTGTTAATCTTAAAATAACTTTAAAGAAATAAAGGAGGAACATCTGCAAAACAAATTTTCATTGAATTTCCAATCTATGAAAAGTGGAATATAAAAAGGAGAGTCAGAAATACAGGGTTTCCTTCCTGTTCTGTTGGCTCACTTCTGACCGGTCGCTGGCTCTAATTCCCTGTGTCTCAAAGGCCAGTGCGTACTTCCAGTGTGCCGTTTTTGAGAGCAAGTGTCAGCAAGCCATACAGGGATCATGCAGTATTGCTCTTGAGGGTTCCTGGCAGTCCTAGGAAAGCAGGGGAGGGAGGAAAGCGGGAGGCACAAAAACAAAATGGGTGTGATGACACCAGTGGGTGACTCAGGACCACTTTTGACCTCAGTTCTCTTTGCTTGGTCTATTTCAATTATATGACTGTCATCAATCCTGCTCCTGCTCTCTTCTTGGAGGTGTTTATGAGCTTTAGCTGGGCGAGTTTATGTCCAGATATTTGCGCTGTCAGAGAAAAGGTGCCAATGGAAGACAAGTCTTCATCTTACTCTGTATCTTTAACATACAAGGCTGTCCCTGAAGGGGTGTGATATAAATGAATGTTCAATATCTCCTGTCCCTGGAACACTGGAATGGCTGCTCATATTCAGACGTAAGGTTTCCAGGCACTATGAAATACCTGAGCGATTGTGTTCCGTAGCACCAGAGCCAGAATGCTAGTTCTATCCCAGCTGTGATCGCAGACAGTTTGCTTTGGTTTTCTTCTGTGTGAAGTCTGAAGGAAAATGATTGTGGTGCCCTTGCACAAAAAAGAATAAGGAAGCAAACCTGTATTGAACAGTTCCTGTCTTGTAGCTATGAGTCGGCTGTGGGCCAGCACAGGAAAGCCAGTGTTTGCAGGGCAGTGGCTGAGAACACATGACCCCGCTCCATCACGGGTGACTTGTGAAGCTACTTAACTTCTTTCACCTCAATTGATCATCTGCAAAATAGGTATAATAATAATAATAATTAATAATAATAATAATAATAGTCTCATAGTGTTTTTAGAAGTACTAAGTGAATTTGGATAGGTAAAGCTTGAAAGTGTCCTTGGTGATTGATAAGCTCTGGTTATTATTTGTCCTTGTCATTATTATGTTCAGTATCACCACTATCTATAATAAATTGAGTGATTACTGATTTAAACACACACTGCACTTGCAGTTGCTTGTGTGTGCAAGTATGTATCTTCATTATAATATAAAATTTGCTCATGTAAAATCTTGGTTGACAAATTACAAACTGGAAGCCATTAATAGATTCCAACCATAACAATGCCGGTTGGCTTATTTTCCTTGTTAAAAAAATTGTATTTGCATGTACTAAAAAAATCCTAAACAGAGTGGCACAACAGAAGCCCATTAGCAAGCACGCAGCGTAAAAGGATTCCAAATCTAAAGTGCCTCTAAGAACAGTCCTTTGATCACAAAGTTTGTTTTCTCCTCAAAACAATGTGTTGTTGTGACAAAGAACTATTACATGAGGAAGTACATGTCTGCACTGTTGGACGCCATGCATAGTAAATTAAAAGAATACTTGATGTTAGCCTTTTCAGATAATAAACTTTAAAAATAGAAGTGTGTGTTGATACCATCAAGTAGAAAAGAGAAAGAAAGGACAGGAAGTACTGTACCTAATTTGTAATCTTTTCCTTTTCAAGCGTCACCCCTGATTTTCTACCTTGCCCGAGGCAACAGCAGATGCATGTCATATGAAGTTATTGGGGTTTTTTGTTTTTGTTTTTTTGCCCAGGTAACCTGTAGCTGAATAAAATGCTGTAAAGTACTAAAGGTCTGAAACCGAAACGAGCTTTTCATAAACCTGCTTAGAACTTTAGATGCGATCACTGCACTCAGACCTGTGTCTTGTCAGAGAAAATGAAAGTACACTTGGAGCTTTGCTCTCACATTAGGCAATTCCAGCCCGCAGCCAGGTGGAAGGACCACGTCTTCCTGAGACACAAAAACCAGCGATCCTGTCACCATCCCATTACTGCACATTTTCCAGTCAGAATCACTGGTGAGAAGTTCATGGATAAAGAAATCCTGCCAGTGATTTCTGAAACAGGATCCTTCCTTGATGCTGAATGGTGGGGACTTTCAGGCCGCATGTGTCTGTGCGGAGTTGGTAGAGCCGCTTACATATCTTTGACACATCTAACAAGAAATAAGATAGAAACTGCCATGCGAATAGAGAAGAATATTATTGTACTGAAACACTTCTCTAAGAAGTTACAATTTGCAAAATATAATAAACAGCTCAAAATTATGTTTATAATATTAAAATCATTTTTCAAGCTTACTTAATTGATGAGAATCTGTTACAGTCTTTGTAAACTATGTCCATTTTTTCCATCTTCCTTTTCTTTGTTCCGTCTCATCTGCCTCCGTTTTATTTTAGGCTATAAAAACTGAGCCTGAGAAGTCACAGTCAACTAAGGTAAATGATTTAAGTCTTCTAGTGATATATTTGGATTCTTTTAAATAATAATTAGTAAGCTGTTTCCTATACTGGTGCTCTGATATAGGGATTTCTCAACTAATATAATTAACTTTGGACTGACATTTTGAGTGTGATTGTGATGTATGTGTATATTATTATAACATTAAATCCACATATAGTTAAAAGAAAATATATTTTGATGACAAAGCAATATATGTCAGAAGGCATTTTGTTTCAATTCCAATTTTTTTAAAGTAAAGTAGGGCCAATGGGATAGCTCAGTGGTCTAAAGCGCCTGCTTAGGCAAGCTTAGGCAAGCACACAGGGACCCGGTACCACATGCCATGCCAGCCCTGCCCCCATGGCAGGCTGAGCCAGCCACAAAAAAAAAAAAAAGGAAAAATGAGTAAATGAGTAAAGCAAGAGAAACAGGTACAATAGATACTATGAAAGAAAAAGAATGTATTCAGGGCCAGGGAGATGGCTCAGTGGAATAAGCACTTCCCTGGCAAGTGCAAGGGCCTGAGTTCAATCCGCAGTTCCACAAAAAAAAAAAAAAAAGAATGTATTCAAGGGGAGGAAAACCAGGATGAGGAAAAGGAGAAAAGAAGGGAAGAAGATATACAGGATAGCTTAGATAACTGTACTTCTGATTTCTGAAAGGAGCAGTTAGTGCTTAATTTTTCCTTCTTTTAAATTTCTTATAACTTTTAAAAGCCAATTTTGTATGCTTATAGCTAGTAATCTAAACAACTGATTTGAAGACAATGTTGTGCAATATAACGACCAGTATTGAATTCCTATTGTTTGGTTTAGTGAAATTCTGTATTGTTTCTAATTTTTTTTTTACTATTTTTTATTCTTTTTTAAAAAACAAATCTTAAAATATATATAAAAAAAAAAAGGAAGAGAAATGAGAGAATAAACAAAGAGAAGTGGGCATCCAGTTCTGGGCCCACTGACACCCCAGCATGGGGAACCCGCTGAGCCTGGCACCCAGGCTGAGTCTTTTCTAAGAGGCCGGCTGAGGTGTTCTTCACGGGCGAATCTGGCTCAGTGGAGCTGGTGGTTAGATGCTCAGGGCACAGGGCTCACTTTCCCCTGGGATTGGTTCCTGTGGTGTGCTGACTCATGGCCCTGCAGAGCACAGGAAGTCGTTCTACCTTCCTTCAGCCGCAGATCCAGGAGTACAAGTGTTTCTCTTCAATAAAGTGCTACATTTCATTCATTCAAGTGCGTAAGCAAATAGATAAGACCAAAGGGTTTCCTGTAGGAAAGCACAGAGATGCTTTGGGCTGAAGTACCTTAAGTGCAGTAAGAGTGTGACATCATGAGGTCAAAGGTGAGGATTACGTGACCTCCACCTCACAGAAGGCGCCTGAGGACGAGAGATACCTGGTGGATCCTCCAGCGGAGAGTGTAGCAGTCAGGTGAAAGTTGCCTTGCGGTCCTCATTTAAGTGCTTTTGGTTGTCTATTAAACTTCAAGTAAAGTAGGTCTCTAGTGATGTGATAGTCTCTATTTGTAGTAAAGGAAAATCCCTATAAATCAGTAAACTGAAGAAACTACTAGACTCTTCATCTCTCAGAAAAGTTTTTCTTTTTTCAAAAATTAGTTTCTAGTATGGGTTTTCTGATCAACAAACTTAATTGTTGCCTGGATCATTTGATGTCTTTGTGGATAGACCTGTAGTTGCCTTTTTATCTGCATGATTTATGAAAAATGTGTGTTTGAAAACATCTTAATAAATACTCAGTGTCCCACTATTGTTCTAATAATCCCTGTTAGTGGAGACTGGTGATAGGGTTTCTGTTGACCAGACAGCACTCATCTACTCTAATCCCAAAGAACCACACATGACTGAGCTTTTCTTTACAGAGACAGAATGATTTAATTGGAATTTTTAAGCTTTTTTGGAAATAGGAAAAAATGCGATTCACTGTAATTGAACTTTTAATGTTTTGAAATTAACAGCTATCTGTGGTTCAAGAGAAAAAACCCCAAGAAGAAAAGCCAAAGAAACATGCAGAGGTAAGTGGTTATCTCTAGGACCTGATATTCTAATGTGATGTTTTTTGTTAAACTCATCATTGGAGGTGTTTTCTGAGTCAGATGGCTAAATATTTGAGGGGGTTTCTTCTAAATAGTGCCACCTTGTGGCACTAGCAGTGTTTGCAATTTACTTGGTGATTCTGAGAGGGAATTGCCCTATTTCAAATTTTGCATCTAAAGTAAACTTTATAACATTTATGTTACGTTCATTCAGATTCACATAATTAAAACCACAAATAGCACAGCTGTTACAAATGGCTCTTATTCTATAAAATGTCAGCATTGTGCTGAAAATACCCTCATGCTAACAATGTGTGTGTGTGTGTGTGTTTTAGCCAAAAAGCCCAGCCCAGCATGCATCAGATGCACAAAGCAAGCCTGCTCATAGTGAAAAAACAGCTTCCAGATCAAAGGAGCAGCTGACCCCCGAGAAGCCAGCGGAACCAAAGGTAAAGGAATCACGCTCATAGATAGGGAAACACTGTCCTCGACTAGCCATTAAGATTTGGTTTCCCAGTCCACATTGCAGTGTGTAGTTGAATCTGTAGGGATATGCTGAACACATATTTGTACTGTAATGATGTACTACTGTTATGTTAACTGGTTTTCCAAACAGTCTTCTTGTACTTGGGTTTACGGATGGCCAGCAAAGGGCATTAGACAAACTTAATAAAGTGCCTTGGCAGGCTTTCTCCCACTGCCCAGTAATGACAGCCAGGTGGCAGGCAGCAGGCTCTGGTATCTTCCAAATGAGATTTGAACTTCCTTTAACATGGGTTAGGGCTTTTGGCATTATCTTCGCTTTTTTCTTTCTTTTTTTTTTTTTTTTTTCTTCAGGCAGAGTTTGGTAGTTGCCCAATCTGGCTCGAGCAATCCTCCTGTATCAGCCTCCTCAGTAGCTGAGACTGCATGCACACATCACTGTGCCTGACCTTACCTACTTCCTTAAGTGAAAGGATTTTTAGAGTCTTGTTGCAGAGAAGATGAACTTTCAGAGACAAAAAAAATTAAGAAACTGATTTCATAATTGTAAGTTAATGGTAGGCAGCTTTCAGAGCAACAAATATCTATGAGTAGAAATTTATGAGGGCATTTAGAAGATAATAGCTAGAACTACTTACTCCATCAAATATTTTATGGCAGAGATCACATATTTGAAATTTAGCAGTTAAATTGCAGGCATTTGTATATTTATTTGGTTGACAGTGTTGTTCAGATATTTTTAATTAGCTACCAGCAATTAAAGTTAGAATGTTTTAAGTAAGACTACAATTTCTAGCTTTTTCTGAAATCAGAGTAAGAGTAATAGTCAGGTCACGTAGCCAGAATCGACTACAGCCATGACACCTAGAGTATGCACTCCAGTTTACCACTGGGACTGCCTGGTTTGACTTGCCTGTTTGTGGGGCATGCATCGACTCTGTAGGTTCCGAGCCCAGCTTTGTGGGGTGCCCGCATTGCATCATGGGCAGCAGTAGCTAGTAAACGTCCAGGGGGGCCAACTGGCAGGTCTGAGTGACATCTGAAACTCTCATTCATGGCAGTAGTCATTCAGAGAAGTTTAGTCTTGTTGGATCTTTTCTCTCCTGGGCAGACTAAATCGCAGGCCCCTGCTTCCGTGGGTAAGGACAGCGCTGTTGCTGGTGTGGCTGCGACTTCTGGGAAAGCGGATGACAAGGTGAGCACGCAAGCGTAAACACAGGCCTCTGTGTCTATCAGGATTCTTTTATAAGACACATACACTAAGTAACCTGCCATTTGGTAAGACTGAATGGGGCGTTTGTGTGCAAGTTTGTGAAGAAGAGCATGCATTGAAGAGATACAAAGTGAGAGAAATATTAAATGATTCTAAAATTCATATATTCCATAAACACTTATGGAACACCTGCCATACATAAGGCCTGGTATCCATGCTAAAGAAATTAAAGTGTGAGCTGATTCAGATCCTGCCTTCCTTGATTACTTGGCGTGAGATAAAGCGGGTAGAATTTCCACGAGCATTTGAATAAGCACTACTCGCCGCTTTCAGTGTTGACACCAGCTATCTTGATAAAAATCACAAACATTCGCTACAGTGTCAGTATGAAATGATACAGGAGGCTTTCAAAGGAGACACGGCAAGACAGCCAGGGCCTTGTGCCAGCTGGTGCCTGGCAGGCCTGCTCAGAGCCCGCCGTGCTGGGCTGGGAGTGTGAATTCTACCCATAGCAGGGCAAGGCTAGCTCCAGTTCAGAGGTCACGGGCTCATATTGAAGTGACAGGTAAACAACAAACAATTACAAGAAGATGGAATTTTTTAAAAATAGAGTGTAGTTTTTATATTCTTGCTTCTCAAAATGAGTAATGTGTAGGCTACAGTATGAGGAGGGAGTCATGGGAGAAGAGTTGGGTGTGTTTTTCTTTTGTGAAACATTTCTTCTCAGATTTTTAGAGATAAGGAACATAATTTTTATCCAAACTCATGCAGCTCTCCTGTGGAGTTAAAACACAATTCACAACACTTTCTAAATAGAACACCCAACTCAAGCATATCTTCTTCCTGTACCAGGTCACTTTTGTGCTTTTTTCACCCCTCATCCTCACCCAAGGGATACAAATTTGTGTCTTGTACCAGTACAGAGCGCTTAAGTGAAAGGGCTTGAGAATAGATGGATTCAGGGTAGAGCATTGCCTATGTGAAAACAGATTTTAAAATACAATCAAAACTTTAAGTTGTTATGGATATGTTAGCTGGTGTATCAGTGAAAGCCGAATGATAAAATGAGGAGAGGTTTGTGTGGTATTCTTGTGCTTTGGATTGGGCTGGGCCTTGTATTGTGTCTTTCTTTGCCCGTGATTCTTCTGTTAGAGTCGATCGGATCTGCCGTCTTGTTTTAGTACGTAGCATGTTTAAAGCGCTGTGAGTGACTGCACCCTGGCCCTTTGGGGCTGGAGGTATCTGGAGCTACAATTCAAGGCAGATTGTGGGAGGCCCCCACCGGGAGCTGCTTGGAGAAGAATTGGGGGATGTTTGCCTGATTCCGGGAGTCTCAAGGGCTTTGACAAAGTAGACAGAAGGCAGCTAGGAGAAAAGACTTGCCGCGCTCCAAGGTTTTGCGGAGTTTCCATTGTTGTGGGCACCAGATGCATTCCAGTGTAGGTGAAGCTTGAGGAGCGAGTGCTGGGGCTGAAAGACCAGAAAGACAGGTTAAGGCTGCCCTGGAGAATGCGAAGTTGCCTTTCTACTAGGCAGAGATAGGAAGGTGAAAGGTTGGTCAGCGGGGGTTTCAATAGTTCCATGGGTCATGGTTTAGCTGAAATGGATTAACACAGTGGGTTGTACCAGAGACACTGCAGAGCTGAATCCTTCAGGCTTTAGAAAATAGTTGGCCAGAGTGGATAAGGGCAAAATAAAATCTAAGATAACTTGAGGCTTTGGAATCTGGACTCAATTCGTAATTTCAAGGTAAGGCAGGGGAAGATGGCTGCTAAGGAGCGACAGCAAGGCTGAGAGTTTCTGAATTGGTAATGGAGGAAAGAGAGGTTCCTCAGGTAGGGGTGAAAGACAAAGTGATGTGGGAGGGTAATGGAAAGAGACCCCAGCTAGACCAAAATCCAGTGTTTAGGATGTGAAGAGAATCTGGACCACTCATGGCTCTGAGCACCCTACGCCCCCCAGACAGGGCCAAGGTGCTATCTTGAGAGGGGGTCAGACTGAGAGGGCACCACCCTTCAGTGCCAGCCGCTGGAGGGATTCACAGCCCTCTTACTCCCGCTGGGGAAGGCAAGGGAGATGTATGCAGTCTGGGATGCAGAGAAACTGAAAGCAGAAGAATGGAGCAAAAGGCCCGCACTTGCTGTCCTGTGGACAATAGCTCTGCGGCACCTTTGAGCAGAGGGACCGTGGGGGAAAGAGAAGGCTTACTCACCACAGAAAAACAAGTTGCGGGTCTCCCCACATACAGGGAGAGAGCTATGTCAGTGGGACACTCGGCATGCTACCCATGATTGCCCTTGTGTTCCCTGGGGGTGCCCTACTGTCCCCTAGCTGGGGACTACAGAAGGCAGGGACCCTGAGACTGTGACAGGCCTGCCAGGAGAGAATGAAAGAAGATCTGTGAGAGAACAGCCTGGACCCGGGGCAGGTTTGGTACAGCCAGAACAGAGCAGGCACCTGGGAAGTGCCACAGCCCAACACTAGCAAAGGCTGCTCTCGGCCAGGCCTGCGGCTCTGACACCTGGACCCTGATGGCAAGTGGAACCCAGGCCGAGCCGTCCAACCATACATTGGGGTTCAAGCTTTTAGGTTAGAGCTGTGAGTTTGTCTGTAGCGAGGTGCTATTTTACAGGGTGTGGGGGGTACTTGGGTCTTGATTTTGTGTCTGCACTCAGAGCCCCAGCACCCACTGGGGGTTTGGAAGAAAACTTTTATGTATGAACCAGATATCAGCTGCCTGTGAGGTGGGATTTTTTATGTATATTGGGAAAGTCTGAGAAGTTTGAAGGCAGGTGGAAACGGAATCTTGATCCAGGAGGAACTTGAGGGTACAGGCTTGGGGAGACATCAGAAAGGAGCCGCTCTGTGGGGCTGCTGTTGGGAGCCCAGAGGCAGAGAAAACAGGCTGGGCTGAGGGAGGTGAGAGGTCTGTGCAGCAGTCTTGGGCAGATGGGCTGCAGACTAAGACTTCATCAACATGTGGGAACACTTTGCTGTTGAGAGGTAGGGTCAGGCCACAGTCCAGGTGGAGAGCCTAGCAGGGTAAGCGGGGCTGTCTTTGAAGTCTGGGATAGGGCTTCCAGATGACCTGGGTGCATGGCCTGAGGGGGCTTGCCTAAGTAAACTGAAGAGAGGTACGGAGAAGGGTGGAGTATGGAAGAAGGAAGGAGGGTTTGGGAAGGTGACTGTTTCTCTGAGCTCGAGGAGGAAGTCCTATCCCACAAGAGTGAACAGGAGTCCTATCCCACAAGAGTGAAAGCACCAGGGAATCACCTGGAGTGAGCAGTTTAAGGGTGTAGTCCTACATGTAGAGATGAAAAGCCTGGGTGTCAGCTCCCACTGTGGATCCTGGAGGTTTAACTGTAGCTCTCAGGAATGCTGACAGTGGGGAACAAGGTCCCTTGTATGAGGAGAAGACATGAGCTAGCCTTCTGCTCACCCTGGGCTCTTGTGTGGGGCTGGGCCCTGTCAGTCTGGGCTAGAATAGGCCCCATTAGGTAAGCAGCGTCTGGCATGGGAGTGGATATCCCTAACCCTGTGCCAGAGCAGGGACAGTGCATTTTCCAGGGGCTGTTTAAATGCACAGGGGCAGGGTTTTGTAGGGACCACAGATTTGAGCATTGCTTTGCCCAATGCTCTGTTTTGCTGTCTCACAAGCAAGGCCCAGGGTAGTTACTCTGGCTTGAGTAATTGGCCTGGACAGAGTGTTGTTACGAGAAGCTGGGAAGCAGACTTACTGGAGGTACTTTTTGGAGACCTCTCTGTACATCCAGAAAGTAGTGGTCATGAGCTCAGCTATACAAGTTTGAGAATCTTTTTTTTTTTAGCTTTGGTCTGGTGTCAAGGGCCACTGGGAAATAAAATAAGTCTTGACAGCTATCCCTTGGCTGAGGAGGGATTTAAGCGTGCATAAGCTTTGAGTGCCTTTGTAAGTCAGGCCATCAGCTGCTCTGGGCTTTTGGGGGCGGTCTTGATAGAGTTTTGGGGTTACTGGAATGGATGGTCTTAGTGAAGGATCTGTAAGCAGCCGTCTATGTATGCCTTGATGCCCGGGAAAGTGCAGAACTGCTGACCACCCCCCAGCCCATGTGGGTCCACAGGGACTTCCTAAAGATTGATCTGGGGATGCCTGTCCAGTCTCTCAGGAAACCATCTCCTCTGATGTGGCCAGGCCATGAGAATCAGTCCATGTCTCTAACTTTGTCCAAAGGACACCCTGAAACAAGCTACAGACTCCCAGCCATTCTCTTTGGGACCATGGGCTTCCAGATTTCTCAGATTTTAGCCAATTCCCTGTTAGGCTGTGTGCTGAAAAATCTCTCACCTCTCAGCCTGAAGGGAAGTGTTCAGCCCAAACATCTTATTTTATTCCCTCCCAGCCTGGCCTAAACCCAGTGCCTGCATTCAGTACATTTAATTTCCAAATTCTCTATGGCTTTGATAACTGATTGCAGAGAAGCTGCACGTGACAAGAGGTCTCCTGTCTTCAAGCCTTCTTCACCCTCCTCTCTTGTCCCTGCTATTTATTCTGTTCTACCTCACACCAGATAGTACCTGTTCCTCACACAAAAACTACCAGGAGAGAAAGTACAGAGGAAAATAAAGAGAAGGGGCAAAGACAGCCTGAGATGGCCTCTTGGCTACCAGCTAGTTGGTATAAACACCCAACTAGGTCACCAGGAGTAGCAGGGTGAGCCGGCTAATGCCAAGGCTGGCAGGATTCCTGTGGATTGAGGTTCCAAGTTTGTGACCTATGCATGGAGAGGGGCCTCAAGGTTCTGCTATACCAGAGTGTGACCTTCCCTTCTGGGTCTGGTGGTCCTTGGGAGGCACCAGGCACCAGACACAGAATAGCCACTATCCGGAGCACCTTTCCCCTTGGGTCCTCACGTGATAATATGCTTAGGGGAACCTTAAAAATGATGAGAGTAAGAAAAATTCACCCATACTGCATGATGCTAAGTAGACCAAATTACAGCTAACTTGAGTTGGAGAAAAATTAGGGGACAGCGCATGTGCAGTGACAAAATCAGCTTGCTGAAATCATAGCCAAAGACTTCCTGCTATAGCCTGAGAACTCAACAGGTGAGCTAGGCTTAAAGAGCATCAGAGACCTACAAGGAAATGAAGTTTCCCACATCATAGGCAGAAACCCTAGAAGTCTGACACGAAGACAGAATCTTAAAAGTTGTTAGAGAAAAGCAAACTATCAGGTATAAAGGCAAGCCCAGTAGGACAGCAGCAGACTTTTCAGCACAAACTTTAAAGCCATAAGATCTTGGGGTAAAATGTTTAACAACTAAAGAAAATAACTTCCAACTCAGACTGATATATTCTGCAAAACTGTCTTAAAATTGCCAGAGAAGTAAATACTGTCTGTGGTGAACACTTGAAGAAAGTCATCAATATCAAATGAGCACTCTAAAAATATACTCAAGTATATTTTAGACATAGTGAACCTGACAAAACCGCAAGGTTGGATGGAATAAATACATGCAGCAAGGTGGGTAGTAAGAAGAGAAAAGTAAAAGAATCAACAAGAAAAACAAAAGGAAGTCAATGACAGGCATAAGTGAAAATCTTTCAATAACTCAGTGTATGGGTGAGGGAGATAGCTCAGTAGAATAAGCGCTTGTCTTGCAAGCACAGGGTCCTGAGTTCAATCCCCAGTACCGCAAAAAAAAAAAAAAAAAACTGAAATAGTAAATAAGGGCGTGGTCTGGGCCTGAGCTTCCCAATTAATAGACATAGATTGACAGAATGGATCAAAACAAAGAAATCGCCTATTTCCTGCATTCAAGAAACTCATCTCATCTAAAAAGAAATTCACAGACCAAAAGATGAAGGGTAAAAACATTATTGCAGGGGCTGGGATAAGTGCTTCCCTGGCAAGTGCAAGGCCCTGAGTTCAATCCTTAGTTCTGCAAAAAACAAAACAAAACAAAAATAAATTATTCCATGCCCTAGGACCCCAAAAGCAAGAAAGGATCACAATTTTATCCTCAAAGTAAACATCAAGCTAAAACTGACCAGAGAAGCTAAAGGTCACTACTTATTAATCCAATGAAGGATTTAATAAGAAGAGTTAACAGTTATAAATAAGTATCCATTGACTGTTGGTGACCTAACTTTATAAACAAACACTAGTGGGTGTAGAAGATCAAATAAATACCAACACAATCATAGCGAGTGATTTTAATACTCCAACTTTCACAAATGGATCAACTAAACAAACAACCACCAAAAGAAATACCGGAATTAAATCACACATTCTAACAAATGGACTTCATAAATATGTAGACTTTTATTCTAGAACAGCAGAGTTAAAGTTCTTTTTAGCAACATGTGGAACTTTCTGCAAAACCACAGACTGGTCCATAAACCTTGCTTAAATGAATATATAAAACAAGCAAAATCATGACATGTATATTGTCACATCGCAGCACACAGAAACTGAGAATCAGCTCAAAGAATCAATGAATCAAAGAGCTTGTTTTTTGAAAGAATAAGCAAAATAGACAAATCTTTTATTAGATTTACCAAATGAAGGGAAAAAAAAAAAAGCCCACATCCATCCAATTAGAAATGAAAAAGTTGGGTTGGCCAGATAGCTCAGCGGATTAAAGCGCCTGCTTAGGCAGACACAGGGGCTGGGGGTTCAATCCCTGGCCTGCAGTGCCAGCCCCGCCCTCAGGGCATACTGAGCTGGTGATCAAGACTGGATGTGGTGGCGCGTGCCTGTAATCCCAGTGCTTGGGAGGCTAAAAACAGGAGGGTCACTACAAGTCCAATCTGTATAGTGAGGCCCTGTACTAAACACATTTAAAAAAAAAAAGAAGAAAGAAAAAAGTTGAAATTACAACACAGACTGCCCAAATCCAGAAGATTTTACTATGAAAAATTGTGCTCTGACTGAGAATCTAAATAGAAATGAACAGATTCCTATATACTTACAAATTATCAAAACTGAATCAAGACATAAAAATCTGAGTAACTGATAACAGGCAATGAAATTGAGAAGTAATAAAAAGCTTACCAACTATGAAAAACCCATGGATTCATAGCCGAACTCTATAAGACCTTCAGGCAGGATATAAGGCCAATACTCCTCAAATTCTTTAGTGGAATTGAAAAGGAAGGACTATTTCCAAATTCAGTCCTGGAAGCTACCATTCCCCTGATTCCAAAAGCAAAAAATCTTCAGCTAAGAAAACTACAGGCCAATCTCTTCAATGACAGTAGATGCGAAAGTCCTCAACAAGATGGACAATAGAATGAAATGAATCACCAATCATACATTGTGACCAAGCGGGCTTCATCACAGGATGCAAAGCTAATTGAACATATACAAATCAATAAATATAAAAATCTTATAAACAGAAAAAAGGACAAAACCTCGTGATTATATCAATTGATCTTGAAAAAAAATGACAAAATCCAACAGCTACTTATGCTAAAATTGTGAAAAAGAATAGGTAAAGGAGAACTTTATCTTAATCTGATAAATGCCATTTATAACAGAACAGCCTGCATCATATTTAATGGCTAAATGCTGAAAGCTTTATTCCTAAAATCAGGAACAAGACAAGGATGACCACTGTCTTCACTCGTGTTTGTGACAATACTCAAAACATTAGCCTGAGCAATCAGGCAAGAGAAAGAAATAGAAGGAATACATAGATAGGGCAGGAAAAACTCAAATTATCATTACTTGCAGATGTCATGATCCTATATGTAGAAGATCCAAAAAAATTCTACCAGACTTCTTCTAGAATTAATAAGCAAATTTAACAATGTCGCAGGGTTTTTACACAATCAACACACAAAAAAGGGGCAAAGCAGGAGGCATCGCAATCCCAGATTTCACGTTGTATTACAGAGCTACAGTGATTAAAAACAGCAGGCTAGTAGCACAAAAATAACCTCTATAGATTATAGGAACAAAATAGAGGATGTGAAAGCAACTCCAGACACATGCAGCTGTCTGATCTTTGACAAAGGGACCAAAAACATATTGTCGGCATGCAGGGACTGAAGCTAGGCCCCACATCTCCCAGTCTCTCACATGCATGAAATTAAAAATGGATCAAAGATCTAGATATGAAAACAAACATGCCAGAAAATGAAAGAGGTAAAGCTCTTCAAATCTTGGACATAGGCAAGGACTTTCTAAACAGAGCCACAGTTGTACAAAATAGCATCAAAACCAGCAAATACTATTATGTCAAATTAAAAAGCTCTGTGCACGAAGGAAGCAATCAGCAGAGTGAAGAGACAGCCTACAGGGTCGGGGAGAAATTGGCAGCTACAACTCTGAAGGGGGAAAATATCTAGAATATATAAAGAACTCAAAAACTTAGACACGTCTTGGCTGGGGAGATAGCTCAGCGGCATAAGTGCCTGCCTGGCAAGCACAAGGTCCTGCGTTTGAGTCTCTCTCTCTCTCTCTCTCTCTCTCTCTCTCTCTCTCTCTCTCTCACACACACACACACACACACACACAACAACAACCTTAGACACTTCAAAATAAAAGACCCAGTCAAAAATTAGTCACTAATAGTAATAGACACTTTCCTGGAAAAAAATGTTCACCAGTTCACCAGCTCTGGCCATTAGCACAGTGCAAATTAAACATTATTGAGACTCCACTATACTCCCAAAAAAATGTCAAATACAGGGGCTGGGGAGATGGCTTAATAGAATAAGTGTTTGTTTGGCAAGTGCAAGGGCCCGAGTTCAATCCTCGGTTCTGCCAAAAAAAAAAAAAAAAAAAAAAGAAAAAGAAAACAAATACAATGATACCTCAATTTTTGAACTCCATTTGTTCCAAGTTTGTGTTTGAACACTGAAAAGTAAGAAAATTAAACATTTTTCCATAAGAAATAATGGAAACCACATAACCAGTTCCGAGGACCAAAAGCTACTTAAAAATTGATTTCTCCATAACTTTAATGTTTGGCAATGATTTCTTTCTTTAACTCTATCATGGAATTCAGATACCTTCAAATGACACATGGCCCCTGATTGTCTTTCCTGCAACAAAATCACCTGCCAAGCCCTGAAAACATTTTACTTCTGTCCCTAGAGAGTAACTTTGGCCAGGACTGGCAGCCTGGCCAGGCACATGTGTAATGTGTGCCTGTGCTGGCCAAGAAGAAGAGGCCCAGAGGTGACAGAAAACACCAGAGTAGAATCAGAATGGTGCTGGGCCTCACATCTGTGAGGGCTGAGTCAGGAGAAGTGTGCTTCTGTGAACCAGCGGCAGGGATGATGCGTGGTTGCTGCTGATTGGACGGTCCCTGGGCATCTCTGAAAGTACCAAGATGGGGAGAGAAACTGTAGCAGGGAAGAGGGGAGTAAGGAGCTAGCAAGCCGGGGGTGTGGGGCTCATGATGTGTGGGAACAAGGACCCAGAGAGCAGTGGCTGGAGTTAGGGAAAAGGAGGACATGTTGATTTTTCAAAGACCAGCAGTGGGAATTGGAGAAGACAGTGAAGAAAGAGACATGGGTCTTGGGTTCAAATCTTGGTTCTGTCCTTTACCGTGTGACCTGAGGAGAGTTACTTAATTGACGCTTTCTTTCCACACCACTAAAATTGATATTTTTAGGCAGTTCTGAAAGCAGACATAACACATAGAATATTTGTTGTAGAGCAGGTGTTCTATGTATCATCAATTTCAATGAATTTGTTTGAAAACAGGTAATTATATTACTTTATAAAGTTGTGTGAAAAGGATCCTTTAATGTCTTTCTGAACTCTCACCAGAAAAAAGAAAAGAAATCATTAATGTCTGCTGCACCAGTTGAATCCAAACCAGATAAACCATCTGGAAAGGTACGAAGATGACAGTGCCCTGCTATCTATGATGCTCACCCTCTTGGCCTTATACTTTTCTCAGCCTGATTTTTTGGGGGCAAACAAAATAAAAGGGATGATTTAAAGAAGCATTTTAATGACTTAGTGTTTTAAGCAAACGTGACTGGGTGGTTGGAGGTGTGGCTTTTGCATCTTTATGTGCAGCATTTTATAACTTTTGAAAACTCGAGTTTCATCTCATGGAGTTTCCATTCCAATTTACCTCTGACAAATAAATCTTCTGGAATCAGATGTATGACTCTAGAAGGTGTTTCATTATTCTGAAATTCACCACCCCCCAAATCAATCTAATGCTAATAGGACCTAAATTCTATTACACCTATTGATTACCAATTCTATTGATCAGGCAGGTCCTAAAATTGTTGTGGGAATATGAGTTGAAAATAGAGGCCAACATTTTAAATAGCTCTTTACAGTCTGAGTTACATGGTAAAGGGTCTTTTCCTAGAATTTTTACTCTTTCAGATGCAGGTTATTGTTCCCAGTGAGTCGTTCTTAACTTTAAAACTGAGGGGAGGCATTTCCTCATTCGTTACATTGCCATAAGCCGGTGTTGACCAAACAAACTGTCAGCTGTTGCAAATTTGACATCTCTTGTGGGTAATTTCAGCTTCTTACCTTTAGATAAGAAGTGAACAAAAGAACGTAAATATATGAAAGAATACCAAGAAATCCATTGTTGAAATAGAGGGTTTTTTTTTTTTTTGTTTTTTGTTTTTTGTTTTTTTGTTTTGTTTTTTGCAGAACCGGGGATTGAACTCAGACCCTTGCGCTTGCCAGGGAAGCGCTTATTCTACTGAGCCATCTCCCGGGCCTAGAGTTTGTTTTTTGAAGAGGTGCTGGTGCTGTTTATTGTTGTGTTTTTAGTTTCTTTGTGAAAAACTCCAGAAAACTATTGATAAACAATAAGGACCCAAAGTCATGTTGTTGTAGAACATAGTCATAATGCTTTGATTTGGTGTGGTTTCTTTTTTCTTTTTAACAGTACATTAGATTGGCAGCTTCATTGAACTCATGCATTATTTTTGAAGAATACAAAATAGTGATAGAAAAAAAACCAGCATTAGAAATGATACAAAATTTCACTAAATAAAGTAATAGGGATTCCACAACGATTACATGATATTATCTTCAAATTAGTTGTTCAGCTTACCAGATATGCAAGATTGGTTTAAAGAAAAAATAAAACAATAACAAAAAATGTGGTAAGAAATTCAAAAGAAAACAAAAGAGTAACACATTTTTTCTTTCATGTAGTCACCTTTGGACTAGTGAAAATTGTTCTTACCTAGATAAGGTTTTTAAAATTTTTTTTCAATCCTAATCTGTACTCTGGCATTGAATCAGATTAGGCTGACCTTTTTTTTTGGTTTGTTTGTTTTTTGTTTTTTTGAGGTACCAGGGATTGAACTCAGGACCTTGTGCTTGCCAGGCAAGCACTTATTCTACTGAGTTTTCTCCCTGGCCCTAACAGTATGTTTTAAATAAAAAATTTAAAAAGTTAAAAAAAAGTGAAATATATTTATCAAATCACAATTAAATATCTGACTCTCTTTCACTTGCAGTCAGGAATTGATGCTGCTTTGGATGACCTAATAGACACATTAGGAGAGCCTGAAGAAACGAACGAGGATAGCACAGTATATTCCGGACCAGAAATTTCAGTATGTGATCTGATATATCCGTTAAAATTCATTCTCAGTAGCAGAGCAATAAGGCCCCGGTCATAGAATCCTAGAAAACACTGGTATTCTGTGGCTTGGATAGAAAGTCATTGTCAATAATGACAATGTAAGATTTGTTTTGGGCTTAGAAATAGTTCGTCTAATGGTAGCTATACAATTGTATTGATTCAGAAAACATTAAATTTTCTGTGTTTAAATTGGCACTGTCATATAGCCTGCTGGGTCAGAAAAACTTACTTTTCAAGATTCAACTCCAGTGAATTTGAATTTATTTTCATTTCTGAATATTTCCCATTCTACATGTTGAACTTATTTTGATTTATAAATATGTATCTTTCTCAGATTATTTCTACCATTCTCAGATCATTTCCTAATCCATGTAAAGCAATAAAATCATGTTTCTAAAAGATATGCTATACAGAGATGAAAATATTTTTAATAGTTACAAAAATTTATTTCTAGGGGTTCAATCACCAGGCCTGCCATGCCGGCCCTGCCCCCAGGGCACACTGAGCTGGCAATTGAGGCCGGGCATGGTGGTACACGCCTGTAATCCCAGCTCTTGGGAGGCTGTAAACAGGTGTATCACTAGGAGTCTGATCTAGTAGTGAGACCCTGAACACCCTGTAGACCCTTCCCTAAAAAAAAAAAAAAAAAAAAAAAAAATATTTCTAGAGTTTATAAAGAGCAAAGATAGTGAGAAAAAAACTATTCAAAGAAAATTAGGAGACTTTATCAAGCAATGAGCCAGTGAGCTGTTCATTGTAATCAGGAAAGATGTTCTAGTAGTTAGGTGTTCTACTAACTAGGAAAATGATGTTGAAACCTGAGAAGACAACCTTTAATCTTGCAGATTGGAAATGTCTGAAAGTCTAACAAGTCCGACAGCTGATGGGTGCTGAACATAGGTGTCCCCTCGAATCAGAGTTTACCTCCAGAGAGCCTTGCCTTAGCATGCTAAGAGTGATAAGAGCTGGTCCAATATTTGAAAATACTTTTATTCAACAGATGACAGGATAACATGCAATGCTTTGTAGTGCTGAAAATGGATTGCCATGTTGTGACATGGTTACATTATAAAATCAGTATAGAATACA